GAAACAGTATGATTTCAAATTAGTTATATTGTAATTGCCAAAGAGGATGTCATGATTTTCCGGGTTTCTAGGTATTCGCACCTTTCATGAATACCCGATGTTGCGAATTATAATCAGAGAGGAACATACTTGAATGATAAATAGATATAGTCCGCGATAGTCAGATGTGGAATATAAATATCGAAGTGCCTCCCAAGCTTTAGATATCATCAAGCAATCGAGAAGAGACCTTAACAATATAATGTTGTTTTACGATTCTATTTTAGTTTTACCGAATTTACTTCACACTTTGTAGTCAAACAAAATAAGTGAACTTGAGCCTTCCTAGACAATCTCTATCTACAGAAACAAATCTTGATTGGCTCTGACAATTCTAAAGTCTATCAAATTGTCTCCGCCTAACACTACAGTTGTTACAGTTGTGGGGGGTGAGCTATACACTGAGTGTTCACAGGGTCCAGTGGAGGAGCTGTCTCAGGGGAATATTACACTGATGGTTATTCCTGCTCCTCCTGCAGCTGCAGCTGCAGATGTTGGTATGGGTGGTCCAATTCCAAATTCCTCAGGTCCAGAGGAGGTACCTACTTCTGGTGTGGGTGAGTTGGGCCCTGGTGTGGTGGCACCAGCTGCGCAGAAAGTACCCCCAACTGGGGTTCAAGTGCCTGAGTCCTCTGTTGCTGAGCCTGTAGTTGGTCGGGGTAATGCCTCAGGTTGTGTCCTTCCTGAAGTGGAGGGTGGTAATGTGGATGGCCCATCTACCCCTTTTATGGGACCTGTACCTGAGGGTCGGAAGAGAATGAAAAGGAAGATCTGCTACATCAAATATAATTAATGCTCACCCATACTACTTGTCCCCAACTCGGAATAGTCATCACTCACACCAGTTTGTGAAAGCAAACAGGCTTCTATGCAGTCCACGGCGGGTTTACCAACTGTAGAGGACTCTGATGAGTTTAAGGATGACTTGAATACCTCAGCATGTTCGGCCAAGTGTCAACGACTCCAGGAAACTGTCATCATGGTAGCTACCACATAGCCATTTGCACTGTACTGCTACTTTGGTACCTCCCACGTTCTTTACCACAGTTTGTATCCTCTCGGCTAGAGAGTCCTCCCACTTTAAGACTACTTTCCTTCTGGTCTACACGCTTGAGTTATATAGTGTTTTTTTTGTTTTGAGATAGGGGATAGGTCCCTCCTGATTGGTATGAGTATCCCAAGATCATTGATTGGGGACATTCAGGTGGTTTTCTACTATCAAAGAGCTTAGCACGGGGTCTCATTCGGATGGTGGTAGTATATTTTTGTATTTTGTATGAGTTGCTTGGCTGGCAGGCAGGCTGTGCTAAGGAGGACTTTTTTTTTCCATTGATGGCATTGTAGTTAATATTTGTAGTTGGGCATGGTGCAGGCATGTTCGAGGTATGTGGTAGGAGGTTTAGTTAGTTCGTAGTTAGTGGTATCCATATTGCAGCAACCTTGGGGCCCGGCGCTAGGGCTCGTTGTATAGGTGCATCAACGGATAAGTGTGAACCTCATTTAGGGGTATCTTCCAACAAGTATAACTAACCCAATACTGGTCTAAATAACTTGAAAAAACAGCGCAGATATAGAAGGCACTAAGTCAAACAAAAGTACGGTTTTTTTAATTTGTAAACATAAGCTGAATGAATAGTATACTTATTTGAAAGGTTGGAAATTTGGTGTAAAATTAGTAGTCTTGGCATTAAAATGTAACATGAATCTAGTTACTACCATAGTAAATAGTGAAAGTTTGAATAATGAAAAATCATATAGCTATACTAATATGTAATATGCAAGCAAGTGATAACTAAGATATTACCAACTGAGATCAATAAATGCAAGATGACTAGAGTCAAAGCGTATTCAACAATGTTGTGCTGCTGGCAGACTTGGAGGTCTGCCTCAAAGTACAGTTAATCGGAAACAAGTAGAAGCAGTCCAAAGTTCTGTGCAAGGAGATATCAATTGTGAAGAAGTAGAATTGCAGAATGGTAAGTTTCTAGTCAATATATCTATAAAAGTCAGAGTATTAATGGAGGTTAATTATCTCATAACTGTAATTAATAGGAGTGAAGGAGTTCTAGATGAGAGCAGGGAGAGGAGGAAAGGTCCCATGTCGACAAACAATATGGAGACAAATGAAGAAGGAGCAAAAGCAAAGAAAAGAGGTATCAGAGAACTTAGAGTCAGTTTTGGGCAAGGAGTTAGAGGATGAGCAGGTTGGAAGAGAAGCATCTAGTCATGAAAAAGAGCAGGATGAGGTAGAAGGAGATGAGCAGCAAGTGGTTGATGAGAGAAAAGAGGTAAATGAGAAAGTAGAGAATGATCAAGATGAGCTTGATAAAAGAAGAGAGAGTCTGGATTTGGCTGAAGCGATGGGAAGCTGGCCTGTTTTATCAAAGTATCAAGCAACAAGTTTTCAGTATAAAATCCTAACAAATGGTAAGTGGCATATCTTGGAAACTTAATAGTTAGTAATTCCTAACTGAGAATTGCTTAGGAATTCATCATATGCGAAGGCTGTTGAGGTGTAAACGCAGAGCACCAATTGGGCAAGACCTTGAGCATCATTTACAAGTATTGGAGTTTCTTCACTTTCAGAGATATGGACTGCAAAAGACATTCTAGAAGAGAACATGTAAAGATGCAGCTTCTTTTATTGCTGCAGCCAATGGCTATGGGAACCGAGTCTGAAATTAAATTATTCAAAACAAGTGAAGCTGGATCAAAAGTTGTCATATTTCTTCTACCTACCAAGGCAAGTTACCAACGCTACACCGTTTGATCGATGATAAGAGTACAAAACCTTCTCTCAGAGAATATTTGGCTGGAGCTGGTGAAGCAATCACTGGCCAGAGTGTTGCTTATGCTATTTCAGCCTAATGGCAAACTGAAATTCTACCTTTTGAAGAGCAGCCAGGATTAAAGAAACCCCCTCAGCCATATTCCTCTGAGGCGAAAGCCCAATTGGTACTACTGGCAGAGTTAAGAAGGGAAGTTCAAGATACACTTAGTTTTCAGACAGCAGTCCAATGGCTATATGAAATGGGCTACAAGTTTCGTGATGTTCATAAAAGAGTTTATAAGGATGGCCATGAAAGGGCTGATGTTGTCCAATATAGACAAGAGCAATTCTTACCTGTTTTACAAGCTCTACAAGAGCGTATGGTACGTTGGAAATTGATTAGTTCAGATAGTAATGAGGAGATTCGTATTATATATCCCTCAAATCTACCTACTGGTGTCAAGCCGATAGTCATTATTGTACATGATGAAACAACATTCAATGCAAATGATGGAAGATCCAAGATTTGGATAAAAGAGGATAACATCTCTCTGAAAAAAAAACCTCACGGTAAAGGAATCATGGTATCTGATTTTCTGATACCTGGAGGACAACTTCGTATTCTTGAGGGTGTTGATAACCTAACAGTTACTGAATATGAAATGCTAGAAGAGGGACCAAAACGCCTAGACCCACATCTAACTACTTGTTCTATTGAGTATGGAGGGAATATTTGGTGGGATGGGGATCAGCTTATTAAACAAGTTATGAAGTTGGCCATTCCAGTTTTTGAATCTGCTTTTCCTGTGTGTCAAGCTCTTTTCCTTTTCAATAATGCCACTAGGCATTCACCATATTCACATGATACACTCCGAGCATGTATGGTGAATCTACGTCCTGGAGGTGGGCAAGCATGCCTTCGACTGGGAATAAATTTTCTGACTTGAGATATTTAACCTATGATAATGGCTGATGGTACACCTAAAGGACTACAAATTGTACTCCAAGTGCGTGGATTATGGAGGCCAAAGTTGCGAGTTCAATGCCAAAAGCCAGATGGAAAGAAAAACAAGCTGTGCCTTAATGGAGGTACATGTTGTACTAGGGTACTAATAGCTCAAGAGCTAGACTTTAAGGCTCAAAAAAGCAGGCTAGAAGAGGAGGTAGAAGAAAAGGGTCATTTGGTTTACTTCTTTCCAAAATTTCATTGTGAGCTCAACTTTATTGAGTACTATTGGGGGGTAGTAAAACAGTATGCACAGAGGAGATGTGGGTATAACATTCGTGCATTAAGGAAAATGGTTCTGGAATGTTTAAATTCTGTAAAACCAACATTAATTTGGAAGTACTGGGCATGAACAGAGCGAATGATGAGAGCTTACAGAGTGGGATATGCATATGGTACTACTGACTTTAAAGAAATGGTTACAAAAATATATAAGAGCTATCGCAGAGTGTCAAATTCTCAAACAATTGTATATAATTGATTTACTTTCTTTCTTACTATCCATATACCTATTATTATTTACACTACATCATAATTGATCACTACCAGTCTTGGCACTGTAGTGGCACAGCCACTGTTGCATTTGACTGTGCCACAAGGTTCACATTGTTCCCTTAATGCACCTATATGCCAGTGTTAGCGACACCAGTGTAAATAAAATTACATTGAATTCTAAGTACTTTTCCTACTTATTACTTTAACCAATACAAAACATCATTACGCTCTTTATCATTATCATGACTCTTTTTATTACTACAAAGCAAAAGCTCTACACGAGGTAGAGTTAGAGAAAGCTTACAATATGTATTACAGGTAGAAGCCAACAGTCTTGTACTATCAGTAACGTAGGTATTGGCATAAGAGCTATCATATATCAGAACTATAAGAGAAGAAGAAGAGAAGTATCATTCCCTGTCACCAAGAACTAACTATCCGAAGCGGGATTGTTATAGTTATTTAAATGCATAAGAATATCATATCATTATTATATTTTTACTTGTTTAGTTTATATACATAAAGTAAGATTAACAGATTGTTGGTAGGATAACTCTGTACTGATCTTGAATGTTTGTTTTCGTAATATTATTTTCTTGGCAGAACAATACTGGCCACAGAAATTATAAACATAAGCATAACCCTGGCCGTTGCATCCATAACTGTCACCCTTGTGAGAAAAGTGGTCCCAGCTCTTGTCTTCCGTGAACCTTACCTCGCAAATCATTGCTTCAGAAGTCCAAAAAGTAGTGAACATCTTCCTCTCTTCAATCAACCACTCAAACCTCTACCTCTACTCCCCACTCCCCCCCACCTTTACAATGAGAGCCCCAGCAATAGAACGTTCCCTCACCGCTGGGCCCGCAGAAGGTCCTGTAGACCCATTCCCGCTGCGCCTCTCGGGCCCGGTAATCAAGGGCTTCGGCCGCGGCAGCAAAGAGTTGCAAATCCCAACGGCGAACATACCAATCGAAGGCCTTCGGGTCGGCAGCTGCGAGACGGTGGAATCGGGAGTTTACTATGGATACGCTGGTCTCGACATCCCGGCCACTGCCGGCAACGACAATGACAACCACGGCAACAAAAAGTCCTCTACTACTGTTGCTGCTGCGGATGGCAGGGTCTTCCCCATGGTCATGTCCATTGGTTGGAACCCCTTCTACAAGAACTCTGTTCGGTCCGTTGAGGTGCATATCATACACACTTTCCCCGAAGACTTTTACGGGGTGCAAATGAATTTGGTTATTCTGGGGTTTATTCGGCCAGAGTTTGATTATGTTAGCAAGGAGGCACTGATCGAGGATATCAAGATGGATATTAAGGTTGGTGTGAATAGCTTGGAGAGGGAGGGGTATAGAGATTTTAAGAGTGATTCCTATTTGACCAACTTTGGATGTTGAGTGGATGATTTTTTTCCTTTATTTTTCTTCTCTCTCTTTGAGTTCCACACTTTGAATTGGGATTCTTAGTGTTGAATAGAAGGACTTTAGACGGATATTGAATCTTAGAGGAGGAATACCGGTACGGTATTGGTGTTTTATTCCTATCCATGTCTTTCATTACGCTTAAATTAATTGTCAGCTTTTTTGCACACGGAGAAGACATGGAACTTAGGAAAGCCCATTGCCCTGAAACGCGCGTTCCGCATACCACAAAAAGCACAAGGGTCTATCTGCCGTCCACGCTCTGCAGACAGTTGTCCGGATACTTGCTTCGAACATATCCTGCTACACCTGGACTGCTAAATCAAGGTCACTGGTTCGATACAACTGTTTTAGCGCACCGCCAGGCTAACAGAACAAAAAGCCTATTACGATATGGTATAAAGCGTAAACAAACCTACTTTTTTGTTTTCATTTTTTCTTCATATAACAACCTCTAACCCTCTGTTTTTTACAGCGCCATTGATATCTTCTATCTCTTCTTTTGTCCAACCTGCAGTGACCCTGCGTCCCGACCCGACTTGCTGTTCCCTCTTCACCCTTGACCATAAGGAAACATCACTGTCCCAGATGAACTGCCAAATAACATAGGACCAACTATTGTGGCGAGGGAGAGGTTCATAGAATTCCTTAGCAACCTCACGAAGCGTCCAAAGACGAGTCCAAGGAATAGCAGGAAAGTCGTGATGCTCGTTGTGAAGCCCAACGTTGTAGGTAAAGAAGTTCAACGGACCATAGTAAGAGTATGTCTCCACGGGTGCTGGGCCATCAGAGATGGCATCCTTTGGTGAGGCTTTTGGTCTTTCAAAAACGTACTAGAGAGGGTGTTAGTGAATATCGGTAATTAGGCATGGAATGGAATCCATACATGCTCGGCAATGAAATGACCAGCGCATGGGTGCAAGCTTCCAGCCAAAAAGCTGCTCATGATCAGGTACGCAAGAGCATTCCAACCACAAGCCTTGACAAGGATGGCATCAAAAATAAGCTGAGCGGTAACATTGAAGAAGTGTAGTTTTGTGAAAGGAAGCTGGTACACCATCATAGGTCGTAGAGCGTAGAAAAGAATCTGAAAAGTGCAGAAAAATGCTTTCCCAAGCACGGAATCAAGGAAAATAGCCTCAATCTTTGTCGGAAGGTCAGTGTCAAGGCCGTCAACACCAAGTGCCTTGTGATGGGTCAGATGATATGGGCGAAAAGCTGCACTGTACGGAAGTCCAATGGGAAGATTGGCAAATATAGCAATCATTCTGTTGGCAAAAGCTGAGCGGAAAGCGAGATTGTGGGATATTTCATGAATAGCCAAGAAAAGATTCTGGTTCGCAGTTGCTCCGATAATATAGGCCATAAGAAAGAACTGGCACGAGAATACCGGGGTCGATTGCAGAATAAATGCACAGAAGATTTGTAGGGAAACCACGAAGAGGACAACATATTTGGTCAGAGGTTCTGGGCCGCAGAGTTTGGTAACCTGGACAGTTTGAATCAGCTGGTGCTTTATATAGTAATGATGAACTCAATTGAAGTTACCTCAGGATGGGCCTTAATTATCTGGTGTCTTCGAGTTCGGTGGGGCTCTTCTTGGTAAGTCTAATGATAATATGGCAAACATGAGTACACTCCGAAGGAATACATATATATATATATATGTGTGTGCTAGGGACTGATATATACCCAAAGCCAATCATGGGCAGCCTGCTTAGAGGCCTTGGCTGGAGCCATGGTGGAAATCTCAATAACGGAAGTCATGAGAATTAAAAAGTAACGATGAGCTAACAGTCGGAAAAGGAATGGTCTGAAGGAGTGGTGATAAAGGAAAAGCTAGGCAGAAGATCGATATATCGATGGTGGGAGATTCCTTATTCGCAAGCTGTCATGGGGAGGAGAATTGGGTCATCCGATGGAAGCAGAGGTGGTGAGCAGCGGTAAAGAAAGGGGTGGACGGGCTGGTGGTGTTGAGAGCCTACCGTAGGCAATCTCTGAACCTGTTGTGGTATTTTTTTTCACATCAGGACTCAAGTGGGAGAGCTTGAACCGGTAGACTACCCCTGAGCGCTCAGGGCATAGAATGCCAAGTCTGCCAGGCTAGCCTGGAGCATGATACGGCACTGGAGTACTAGTAAATTAGAATAGTACCAAATCATACGGCTCAACGGAAAATTTGGTAAGCGACCCTACAATTGTGCTGTACTCGTATAGTACCGTTACTTTACGTGTATCACACTCACACGAGATACCGGTAGCTGATTTCAAGTATGGGTTCAGAAACGGATAAGTGTTAACCTCAATTATGGGAGTTTTAAGCGGAATATAACTCACTTAATAGTAGTTCAATATTTATTATTATTTTTTTTTAAAAAAAAAAACCGTAGAAATGTAGCCTTAGTGCAGCTGAATAAAAGTAGGGTTTTTTTGGTTTTCTTTGTAAAACCAAGTAACAGGCTTAGTATTCTGCTTTAAATTATTGAAGATTTTGGTATATGATCACTGGTCTTGGCATTAAAATTCAACATCAAAAGCTGACTAAGTATGAAAAATTCAAGCTATTCTGGTTTTAAATAGTAAAGAAATAACTACTATGGAGGAGAAAAACTACGACTTGGAGAGAACTACAATTAATAGCTTGAAATTAACTAAAAGTTAAATAATAAAAAGTATCTGACAAAGGCATGCTACTGAATTTAAGGGGACCTGGACTAAAAGGCAGGGTTAATTAGTAGCTAATACCGATTCTGGTTATTAAGAAATGGTAATCTGTTCTACCAATGATGATTAGAAGTTATTATCTATAAAGAGTTTTTGATCTTTAAAGTATTATATTAACTTATTATTATATCATTTCTTATAAATCAATACTATTTTAGTATAGTAATATATTATTTGTATAAACTAGAGTACTTCATAATCTATTACTAGTAGAATTAGTAGTACCTTCATTCAGCTACTATTGCATTCTTCTATACCACATAGATGATAGTCTTCTTTAATTATATTTTTCTTTTATATAGTAGTTTTTATTCATGTTTAAAGTACACAGGTCATGTCCACTAGCATCCTATGTAGACCTAAACCTCTGCCATTAGATAGGCCCCAGAAGTCAGAAGAAAAACCTTCTTACCTAAGCAAGTAGTTAGAAATGACTCTCTAGAGCAGCAACCCATAGTGCACACTGCTAGAAATCCACACTCAAGTATCTAAAACTAACGAAATCCTCCACCCCAACCGATGACACTCCTCGATGTGCATGAAAGAAAAACCTCTAAACAAAGCAAACTCCAAAACCTAAGTAGCTCATGTTAGGAGTACTAGGATCCAATGCATAAGAACCATCCCAAGTAGGGTAACCCCACTTGGAATCTGAATTTCTAGCCTCCAATACCCACCTGTGGCCCCTTTACAGGGCCTACACATCACCATACATATCTATCTCAATTGCATCCTGTAACTATAATGCCGCAGAATTTGAGGTGTAGGAATAATACAATATACATCGCTAACATCCATCTGATCAGGTCCTGTTTACAGGATATATGAGAGTGGGCCTTCAGCTGAGTCTGGGATATGGAACTGAGTAGATCTGTTAACTTTGCAGAGAGTTACTATGCTTCAAAGATGTAACGTCCTTGGTAAGAGTTATAGGTAACGGGACGTTTTTGTACAATGATATACTATAGATGGTTTAAGGATCCCTCCGAGAAACCAATCTATTCGCACCCATCCTACAATAACTGGAACAGTCTAAAACTCTAAGAAATATTACCACGGAAGCCAATAGACTTTGTGGAGTCTTATAACTAAGCTCAGGAATACATCATAGTTGTGAGAATAACTCCTAATAGAGAAACAGCGACTGAAACCCTGTTACCTAGAGTATCAAAGGATTTCTAACAGAGAGATTCTCTGCCAATCTGGTAGAATAATTACCTACGAATTAATAGGAAATTAACTGGAAGATATATGTAGGTTAAATCCTAAGTTATAGAGATTCAAAGTCAGGGACCTAGGAAGGTGGAATTTACTACTACCTTTGCTGATACAAACCCATAGATGAAACTGATCATTTTATCAATAAGGGAGACTACTAAGGCTAGTGCAGTTCGAGTTGAGAAATAAGCCACAAGTCTAATAATTCTAAAGATCGGATAATTACTATTGAGAAAAGCATAGTTGCTAATGAGCAAAATAGTAATTGCTAAAGAGGATGTTGTGGTATTCAAGTACCTCTAGTATCTGCATCTTTGAAGTATACCAGATGCAGTGAGTTATAATTAGGGAGGTAAATAGTTTGTATGATGGATAAATGTAGTATGTGAATAATCAGACATGGAATATATATATTGAAGTATATCTCAACCTTTTAGGCATTATTAAGCAATAGAGTAGAGAGGTTAACTATATAATGTTGTTCTTGAGATTCTGTTTTACTTTATCTACTTCACCTTGCTTTTAGTAGTTATAAGCAAAAGGAGTGTATTTTGCGCTTTCCCAGAAAGTTTCCATCCACAGAAATAAATCTTGGATGGCCTAGAAACCTTTGAGTTTATCCAGGTTATGTGTACCAAATAGTATATTGTTAGATTTCCTTATTCCTTAGGCTCTCTATTTAGCTACCTTCTTCTACCACACGATGTAGCCAAGACAACAAGTATCCTACCACATATTCCTGACAAATGGAAGCGTCTGAAAATTTGGGCTTTATAGCCTGGTTACATGAAAATAAAGAAGCTCGCAAACCAGTAAAAGCAATGGCACAACCTTCTAAGCAGATTATTTTAGGGGAGTCAATGAATATCTTGGGAAATGAATACTCCACAACTTTCAGTTATTTGTTTTTTCTCCTTCTGGCTCTGCAGAAACCTTTATGAGGACCAGCAAGTGAAGCTCCTGGTATCCCTCTGTCTTCAAGAGCCCATGCTCCAGTTTTAAGATCCTTCATACCACATTCGAACACCTATGCTGCAGACTTGACAAGACTCACTGCTACAGTAGGAATGGTAATAGGCTAATATGGCAGGACATTTTAACAAGTATTGAAACTGCCAATAGTGCTTTTAACATACTTTCAGCCAACTTGCAGGCCCACGCATGAGGACTGATAGAAGTCTAACAATATCTGTAGGAAAGACAAGATGTACATGATAGTGACATAGCCATTATGTTATATTAGTATACCATGGTGGAAACAAAGGTTAGAGAAATGGAATAAATGATCAACCAGGAGGTAGGTACTAAGTCAGTAGCACAGGATGCTTGAACAAATCATCTCGAGGAGATAACAACTCAACTGCTACCAGAAGCTCTTAAATAGGACCTCAACCTAGAACAAGCATTCCAGGATTTCAGAGAATAAGAGACCCAACAGAGCTAAGTATTATAAATATTGATTGCAAACATGGCCACACAATAGGAATGAGAGGCAGAAAACTCCCGTGACTTTACCCACACTATGAAAAGGGATTAAACTTGGGTATCAGATATCTTGGCACTAGTACTCAACAGAATTAAAACACTAGATAGCATATACATGAGTGGTTAGCACACTATATTGGAGTCGGTCCCAGACGAGCAGGAAGATACAGCAGAAAGGGACAAACCTGAGGAGACCCCTACATAAAGTAAGTGGAAACAATAGGAAGGTGAACTCTTAACTCTATAATTGTAACCGGTACGGGTACTCGGTTATTGGTTTTGTTTTATGTTTTGTTTTAAGTATCACTTTGATACTTGGTTTGTTTTAAGTATGGTTTTGATACTTGGTTTTGTTTTATGTTTTGTTTTAAGTATCACTTTGATACTTAAGGAGTTTTACCAAAGAGTATCAATTGATACCTTTGATTAGTTTCGTTCATGCTAGACATGAACAGATTTGTGTATTTAAAGACCGCCTGTTTCTACGATAGAAAAGGCAGACTTCGACAGACAGTATTTCAATATACTTGGTTGAACGGTTACTTCTTTGTTCCTCAGTACACCCTCGAAGCCTCCTTTAGTTCTCAGCTCTCGCCTCCTTTCTGGAAGAGCAGGCCACCTGCCAACTATCGTATCTTTACTGATAATGTGATTAGCACCTTGCGAACACGTTACAATAATACTTGGTGGCAACTGGGATGATGGGAGTTATGATGGGAATAAGGAAGGAAATGGAGGAAACTTGTTAGGTGGAAACAACCTGATAGACTTCAGAATTGTCTAGGCCAACTAAGATTTGTTTCTGTTGGTAGAGATTGTCTAGGAACGCTCGAAGTACACTGGTTTCGTTTATGACTTCTAAGTGTGAAGTAAAGCAGGTAAAGTAAAATAGAATTGTGAAGACAATATTTTATTGTTAAGGTCTCTTCACCATTACTTGATGATATCTAAAACTTGGTAGGCACTTCAATATTTATATTCCACGTTTAAGTATTCGCAGACTATATCTATTTATTATACAACTATATACCTCTCTGATTATAACTCGCAATATTAGCTATTCTTCAAAGGTGTGAACACCTGGAGACTGTGAAAATCACTACATCCTCTTTGGCAATTACAATGTAACCTACTAGGAACCATACTGTTCCTAATAGTAATTATCAGATCATTAGAGTCTTTAAACATATAGCCTAATTCTCAAGTTGAACTGTGTTGACTCCAATAGTCTCTGACATTGATGAGATGATCAGTTTCATCTCCAAGTTGTATCTGCTAAGGTAGTCAGTGTAATGAGAAGAGCAGGGCCAAGGAGTAGCTAAAGGGTATTAGTGCAAGAGAAGAAGAACCAGAAAGGAAGGTGAAGGTTGAGGCCAGAACTGAGGTAGATAGCGAGAGTAGAGAAAGAAGTAGAAGCAGAGGGGAGAGCAGAGGTGGGAGCAGAAGCGGGAGCGGAGGTGGGAGCAGAGGCAGGGGCTGAGGTGGGAGCAGAAGCGGGAGCTGGGGCAGGAGTAGAAGTGGGAGCTGAGGCAGGAGCAGAAGTGG